CAATATTTAAAAAAACTTCTGACTCACCAAAAGAGAAATCTCTTTACTTTTTTTGTTTTCATAAAGCTTTAAAATCTAGGTAAATTAATTCTTTAATTAAGAAAAAAATAAAAATAATGCCTTTCTAATGCTTTTAAAATAATTCATTTTTAATATTTTTAGTTTTTATTTTAAAATGTAAGACTTTAACACTAACTTAATGAATATGAAAGATATACTCTAGTTTTTCCCTATTTACTTTCATTCCTAATTATTCCAAGTGGTATTACTTCTAATATGAGAGTTGTCAAGGTACAGACCTGAATGACAAAATGTTTCCTCATAAAGCTTCATGAAAATCTAACCTATTGTTAATGTACTTTGTTCTGTGCCATCCCCTCTAGAGAATCAAATAAAAACTGAATTTTTTTTAGAAATAGAAAATACTAAGTGATTTTAAAAATTATACCTGTAACCTACATTGATTTGGCTCCTAAACATGAGCTGTAAGTTTAGTAACTTAAGAAATATTTTAGGGGATGGGAAGATGTAAAAATATTAATCAGTCACATGCATTCTCTACGACAAGGTAAAGGCAAGCCATTGTAAGAAAAAGATCAAGAGAATCCAATCCAGTTGAGAATGTCCCATTATTTGTGTGTAAAGAACTCTATTGCAGTTAGTGGAGTCAGCTGAATTCTAGATAGGGATAAATAACAGGAGAATAGCATAGGATGAATTCATTATACTTAAAGTTTTGATAGACCTTTAGCTGTCACCTGTCACTGCATATATTCAAAACAAATACCCTTCACACAAACAAATACTTCTAACACCAAGGACTATGGAAAGTGTAGTTTGGGACTAAGTACGTACACATTTTTCTCCTTTAAATCCCCGAACACAAGCTTTCTCAGCAAAACTTTGGTTTAATTTAAATGCAATCCATGTCTACTTTATTTTTTCTCCCGATGTCTCCTGCATTTTAGCAATCTAATTTCCTCAGCCTATTGACATATGTTGGTGCTTGGTAACAAAGCTCCATCCCAGAAATGTCAAACTAAATGAATAAGGCAAAATCACAGAAAACAAGGTTATTCTGTGAGCTTCCCGAGTTTGCAGGTTCTGAATGTTCTTCTGATTTATCAGCCCAGCTGAACTCAGGAGGGGACACTGGTACTACTTCTCCAGCTAGTCAATGCCCCTGAGTCCCAGTGCCTCAAAGAACATTTCTAGGAAACATCTTAGTGTCAAAATACCATGCCTTCCAGAGAAAGCTAGTCATGCTAAAAGTAGGAATGGTATAATGCATCCAACTTTCTAAATCTTTAGCTTGTAAAAACAAAACAAACAACAAAAAAAAAACCCTACAAATATTTAAAGAAAAGGCTTATTATGTTATTTATAACTAAAACATTTATAATTTAAATATGATAGCAATGGTAATTGATGATTGGTGAAAGGTGTTAGAATTATAACTCTCTTACCTAAAATTAAGAGAACCACTTTAACTTGGAAATAACTCTTTAAATTTGTTTTTAATGCTGAGGATACAATACTGAGTGCATGAATGAAATTACAGGCATGCAACTTCAGGGTTTAAATTGAAGGCTTTGATAATTGATTAAGAAAAAAATAGGACAAATTAATAATGAGACTTGACCTAAAGACTGCCTGATCTGCTAGACACATAGTCACTGTAGATTTCTTATGATAAGTGTTTCTTGGTGCATCTTTATTCCATCTTTCTACTTTTAACCCATCATTATCTCTATATTTAAAGTGAATTTCCTTTAGAAATCATGTAGTTCATTCTGTTATTTTATTTAGCCTGGCTGACTCTGCCTTTTATTGAAGTATTTTTTTTAAAACCACATTTGATGTATTATTGATGTATATGGCTTTAAATGGATCGTCTTGCTATTTGTTTTCTACTTTCTGTAGTACTTGTATCTCTACTTTGTTCCTTTTTACTCTTGCCTTCTTTTGGGTTAAGTAATTTTTAGATTTCCATATTATCTCCTACTAAAGAGGTAGCCAGATTTTATAAGATGTAATACCAGCTTCCCAAACTCCAAGTAGAAGCAGGTTTGGCACTTGACTTGGTGGTAGACACCACAGAGAACGGCAGTGGCTTGTAGCATGGTGTGAATTGATAATGTAGGACAATCCTGTGTTTTCTAGTGGGACTCTAAGTGAGGAAGTACAGAGGATTTTCCACCTAGCAGTAGATGCCGAAGCTAAAAGATCATGATATAGAAATAGAGATCAAGGAAGCTGTGCTATATCATCTGCATGCCAATATTCCAAATGACTTGAAGCTTTCAACATGAAGAGATATTTGAAGATAGAAAGGAGAGACTTCATGAGATGGTGTGAGGGAAGGAAGATGGCCATCTGTGTGTAGCTAGATCACCCTCTCTTTCAGATCCCAGTCAATGTGTATGCCAATAATAAATGCAGGTTTTGTAGAACAACTTGAATGACTTTATGTTCTTCAAACTAAAAAATCTGAGTAGATATTGTCATTTATAATATCACTGCAATTATTTGGTACTTGGTTATAGTACTGAAAAAGTAAGAGAAAGGAAAATCCTTTTGTTTTACACATTTTCTTTTTTTTTTATTCTTATGTTAATCCCCATACATTACATCATTAGTTTTAGATGTAGTGTTCCATGATTCATTGTTTGTGCATAACACCCAGTGCTCCATGCAGAATGTGCTCTCCTCAATACCCACCACCAGGCTAACCCATCCTCCGCCCCCCTCCCCTCTAGAACCCTCAGCTTGTTTTTCAGAGTCCATAGTCTCTCATGGTTCGTCTACCCCTCCGATTTCCCCCGCTTCATTCTTCCCCTCCTGTTACCCTCTTCTTCTTCTTCCTTTTTTTTTTCTTAACATATATTGCATTATTTGTTTCAGAGGTACAGATCTGAGATTCAATAGTCTTGCACAATTCACAGCGCTTACCAGAGCACATACCCTCCCCAGTGTCTATCACCCAGTCACCCCATCGCTCGGCATCAGGGAAATCCAAATCAAAACCTCAATGAGATACCACCTCACACCAGTCAGAATGGCTAAAATTAACAAGTCAGGAAACGACAGATGTTGGCGGGGATGCGGAGAAAGGGGAACCCTCCTACACTGTTGGTGGGAATGCAAGCTGGTGCAGCCACTCTGGAAAACAGTATGGAGGTTCCTCAAAAAGTTGAAAATAGAGCTACCATATGATCCAGCAATTGCACTACTGGATATTTACCCCAAAGATACAAAAGTAGGGATCCGAAAGGGTACGTGCACCCTGAAGTTTATAGCAGCAATGTCCACAATAGCCAAACTGTGGAAAGAGCCAAGATGTCCATCGACAAATGAATGGATAAAGAAGAAGTGGTATATATATACAATGGAATATTATGCAGCCATCAAAAGGAATGAGATCTTGCCATTTGCAACGACGTGGATGGAACTGGAGGGTATTATGTTGAGCGAAATAATCAAACAGAGAAAGACATGTATCATATGATCTCACTGATATGAGGAATTCTTAATTGCAGGAAACAAACTGAGGGTTGCTGGAGTGGGGGGTGGGGTGGGAGGGATGGGGTGACTGGGTGTTTTTCACATTTTCTAACTAGTATTGAAAAAAATATTAGCAAGAAAAAATGAGTATAAGAATATATTTTGTTGTCCATCAACAGATGAATGGATAAAGAAGATGTGGTATATATACACAATGGAATATTATGCAGCGATCAAAAGGAATGAAATCTTGCCATTTGCAACAATGTGGATGGAATTGGAGGGTATTATGCTGAGCGAAATAAGTCAATCAGAGAAAGACATTTATCATATGATCTCACTGATATGAGGAATTCCTAATCTCAGAAAACAAACTGAGGGTTGTTGGAGTGGTGGGGGGTTGGAGGGATGGGGTGGCTGGGTGATAGACATTGGAGAGGGTATGTGCTATGGTAAGTGCTGTGAATTGTGTAAGACTGTTGAATCATAGACCTGTACCTCTGAAACAAATAATACATTATATGTTAAAGAAAAAAAAGAAGAAGAAGAAGATAGTAGGAAGGGAAAAATAAAGGGGGGGATTTGGAGGGGGAGACAAACCATGAGAGACTATGGACTCTGAGAAACAAACTGAGGATTCTAGAGGAGAGGGGGTTAGGGGGATGGGTTAGCCTGGTGATGGGTATTAAAGAGGGCATGTATTGAATGGAGCACTGGGTGTTACATGCAAACAATGAATCATGGAACACTACATCAAAAACTAATGATGTAATGTATGGTGATTAACATAACATAATAAAATAAAATTAAAAAAGAATATATTTTATCTCGTTAATATACGATCATGGAAATGTTTAAATTGTCATCATAAAAAATATTTAATGTATTTTAAAAAGTGATATGCTGATTTTTTTCTGACACAAATCTGTTGAAATAATTACAATGCTCTCATTAAGTCTGTGTAATTTTTTTTCATGTTTGGGTTTTTTTAAAAAATATAACTGGCATGTGTTTAAATGGATGACTGATTATGTAGCTATGAATCAAAATAATTTGTGTTCTTTGAATCACTTGGATATGGAAAGTTATTAAATAATTTGCCTCATCTGCTAACTGCCTTGTATAAATTTGATCACTGAAGCTCAATTTTACTTTAAGATTGACCGTTCACATTAATTCATTTGCTTTCCAGATTGTTTCATTTATTCTTGTTCAAACATTTAAATACCTTAAGACAACAGAAACATTTGCAACACCCTATTTTCCCAAAGGATTTAATAACATTTGAACTCATTAAATTGAAACTAGCATAACTTTATTCATATATTATGTGAAATAGAGTTGTGTGAGAAGCCAGAGATGAGGTGTTTTCTTTCTTTTTCTTTTTTTCCTAAGCTTCCGCTAAGAGCATATTCTCCAGACTCTTTACCACTGACTGATTTTCACACTCTAAAGTGAGGATTGCTCATCTATATCCATCTCATCTCTCCTTGCAGGATTTGAGGGTGAACGTTGTGAAATTAATGTGAATGAGTGCTTCTCTCTTCCCCGTCAGAATATGGTGACTGTGAAGATGGGGCCAACAATTTCAGGTAGAGAAACCAAAAAATAACTAGATAAAAGTTTATGCATCTAGTTGTATCTAAATATATCCATGTTTAGAATTTCAGTTGACAAATTGAACAAATTTCTGGTTATTAACAATTTGCCATGCTACAATTATTTGAAGCTTTGACTTTATATGTTTATATTAATGGAGCTATTAAATTTCTTGTTTAAAAGATGTGTTTGCAGACCTGGGTTTTCTGGACCTCTATGTGAACTTGAAACAAATGAGTGTTCTTCTAGACCTTGCAAAAATAATGGAACCTGTGTGGATCTAACAAACAGGTTAGAGGCTATATTTTACATAATCAATTATTTTATATATAATATTTAAATAACAAAATGAACATATATGTACCCATATTGAACTTAAGTAGAACATTCCCTATATCCTTGTGCTTATCCCCAAGTATTCCTCTACTTTTCCACCCAATTGTATTGAATGTCCCAAATTTTTTGTTGTTGTTGAACCAAGATTTTATTTTATGTTTTTATTTATTTATTTATTTAAATTTCAGTCAGCACAACATAATATTAGTTTCAGGTGTACGATATAGTGATTCAACACTTCCATACAACACCTGATGCTCATCACAAGTGCACTCCTTAATCCCTATCACCTATTTGACCCATCCCCTTGCCTTTAATATATAGTATTAACTATTTATATGCCTGCCTCAACAAAAGACTTAGTTTGCATTTAATATAACTGAAATATTGTGAGTAGTCTTCAGAAACAATTCATTATGTTGAACATGACATTTCTGCATTAATGCATGTATCTGTTGCTCATTTTTAACTGTTGTACAATATTCCCTTTAAATATGTGTCAACATTTATTTATCAGTCTTCTGATCATAGATATCTGGATTATTTGACTCTTCTTTCTTAGAGATAATAATACTATTAAGGTTTTCAAATATTTCTCTAAATACACAAAAACTAATGTTACCTTCGATTTCATACCTAGAAATGGAATAGTTGGATCACTAGGTAGATGTTTTCACATGTATTGTATCATTTTTTTCCATTTCATTTGAAAATGGAATATTCACACTCTTAATGAAAGTGAGTAAGTGTCCCTATTTGCATTCTTAGATATTCCATTTGGGCTTATCTGCTGTGTGTAAAATTATATATCCTTGTTTTTTTGTATTTATTTTTCTGTATTCCCATCATAACTTATGAGTTTAAGCACTTCTTCATCCATTTTAAAATATTTAATTTTTCTTTTCTAGAAATGCCTATTTATGGCATCTTCCCATTTATGTTTTCTTCTCATTGATTTGTAAGAATCTTTATATATTTTGATTATTACTGCTTTCACTAATCATATTTACTGAAAATATCTTCTATTGATTGTGGCTTGACATTTTACCTTCTCTGTGATAAGTTTTGAGTGCTAAACTTTAATTTTAATGTAACCAAATTAATCAATTTGCTTATGGCTTGCCTTTTTTATCTTGTTTAAAACATTTACTCTACTTAAGGAAGAGCCAATAGCTATTCTTATCAAACTTTTCCAAAAAATAGAAGAGAAAGGAAAACTTCCAAATGCATTCTATGAGGCCAGCATTACCCTGATAACAAAACCAGATAAAGACAACAAAAAAAAGAAAATTACAGGTCAGTGTCTCTAATGAACATAGTTACAAAAATCCTCACCAGCAACTCAATCCAATAATACATTAAAATTAGCAGCTCAATCCAGTAGTATTTTAAAAAGAAACATTCACCATAATCAAGTAGGATTTATTCCAGGGATTCAAGAGTGGTTCAGTATTTTTTAAAAAGTTTATTCTAGGGCAAAAGAATGTTGCTTATATTTCCTTTTAAAATATTTAAAGTTTCACCCTTCATATTTAAATCAATTTATTTGGAAGTTGTGCGCATGTACACACATGCGTGCGCGCGCACGTGTGTGTGTGTGTGTGCGCGCGCGTGTGTTATGAGATAGGAATTTTAAGTTAATTTTTGCATATAATTAACCAATTGTGCCTGCTATATGTATTGAATAACTTCATTTGTTACTTACTGCTTGGCCTGATCTGCAATGCCTTCTTGGTTGCAGAACAAGTCCCCATATACGAATATGTCTATTTCTTTGCCTCTATTCTGTTTCCTTAGTTCAATTAGCCATCCATGTGCCAGTACCATAAATCTTAGTTAGTTACCTTTGAAATATTTCAATACTGGTAAGGCAAGAAATCTCATATTCAGGACTGTGGAGGAAAACAAAACAAAACAACAGAAGATGGATTTATGATCCAGCTACCAGACCTAAATAATTGTGCACTTCTACTGATGGAACAGTGGTATTTCAAAGATAAGCATGAGTTCAGGGTCATTATCTAAAAACTCCTAAAAGGCCTGAATATCATTCTTTCATCAGTGAGCATTGACAGTGGTAAATGGCCTCAGAACCCTCTGAGGAAGGCTTCAGGAAGATACATGGAACACCTGTGACTATATGTCAAGATCCTGCTTCAAAAGGACCTACTATCCTTCAGTTGAGGCACTAAGTCCATGACATAGCATAAGCCTGAAATTGTGTAAGATGCTAGGAATCCCTACAAAAGCAAATTGAATAGTGTGTCTGTCCTGCAGACCTATATTCTTAATTCTATATATGTGAATAGCACCATTGCGGATTGCCCATGTATTTTATTTCTAGAAACTCATCACTGATTAGCCACTGTCAAGGCTATCTAAACCAATCCACCAATCACCTTTTGTTTCTCTGAATTATTTGCTCAATTTTTAATCTGATAGTCAATATCCAACTGTTTTTATCCATTCTTAGATCCCATTATTCTAATTTATATCAGGGAACCCAGTTTTACTGTAGCATCTCACATTATCTCCAGCCTATAAAGGACAATCACCCCAGAGTTTATCAAGAGACTAGTGCCCCCTTCACAAACCCTGTTCTTGATCTTGGTGAATGGGATGTCCTCCTGGGTGAATGGAATTTCTTCCTAGGAGATAGGAATACCCTCCTGTATTCTCTTGGGGTAGAAATTAAGGGGTAACTGAACAGCTTACTCATGATAGATCCCCTCCAACATTTCCATAACAATAAGCCTATGAATAGTTCCTTCTAATATATACCAAGAATACTCTGGAACTTCTACTTCACCAATCTAAGCTGGAATTAAGTCCTGTTTTTTTATTAACTAATTTAACACCATACCCAGATGCTAATATTAGCACATTGAATCTTCTCTCTCCATCCATGTCAATAAGTTTAACTCATTTAAGTTTTATATTTATTCTCCTTTGGTCTACCTTAGGGTCAATCCCACACATGCTCCCCAACTTTGTGACAATACAGGTTGGTGGGGTTATGCAGCTCTTCTAGGGTATAGGCTAGCTGTTCCCAGTTAAGTGTTTCCATCTCTCATCAGCAAAGTTGGAATCTAACCCTTTTTATGGGCTGGAACCAATAAGAAATGTTGGGGAGTGGGCCAGGGAAAACTGGCAACATTTTATAAGTCAACTCCTTCAGCATATTTAGAGGAAGGATTGTGTGCAAAGAAGCACAGATTCCAAAGAAACAGGAGAGGTTTAGCCTCTATCAGTAATGGAGATTAAAGTGAATTTCAGAGATTTAAGTCCCTTTGCCATATTTATCCGTTTCTACAGGGGATATGAACTCCTTCAAAGTTACTATACAGGCTATACTTGTTTGCTGTTGTTGGTTAGCAGAAACTGAAAACTCAGTGGTTAAAATAGTTATTATTTATTAATATTTTCACATCTGTGGTTTACTGGTATTTGGCTCTAATATAGGCTGGATTCATCTAAGTTTCTCTGGGACATAGCTGAGCAGGGAGAAGTGTTTCACAGTCTATTAAATCAGCTGAAATAGTTGTGCTCCAAGTTTCTTTCATTTTTATTGGACTAGCATGTTCTCACATGCTCACATGTGAGGAGTTCAAGAGAACAAGCAAAAAACAGGTAAACTCTATTAAGCCCTAGGCTCTGAAATAGTGCCCTGCATCCTTACCTATAGATCACTGTGCAAAAAAATAATTGTAACCATGCCTGAAAGTGTGGGGCAAACACTCTTCCCATGATGAAGCTGTGGCTAGGAAGAAGAGTGGTAAAGAATTAAGATAAAAAATGCTATCAACCAAACCGAAGGTAGGATTAGTAACTGGAAAATAAGCTCACAGGAAACATGCAGACTGAAGCATGGGGCATTAACTGCCTGGCATTCCTAATTTGCCCTGCATGGGACTTAGGAGATAGCTCTGAGTCAGAGACTAGAATGAAATGAATAGTAGAATCAAAATGATTCTACAAATGTAAATGAAGGTATTTAACACAAGTTAATTATATGGCTTCTAAAGACCAGTTTTCCAAGTTCCGTACGAGATCTCAAAGAGTTTGAGGAGGAAGTCAGCCACAATGCCCTCTGCTTAAAAGAGAACTCTCATGGTACATTCATGAACACAAGAACTATGAGTTCATTTACAGAGAGCTGAATTGATTATAAAGTTGATGTTGACTCTTCAGTCTAGCTGATGACATCAAAGTGTTTCTCAAACTGAGATTATCCTAAAAAGCTTGATGGAAAATAACCAAATACTAATGGTGAAAAATCTGGCAACCAACATGAAGAGTTTTTGTAAATGTTTATCCTCAAGCTCGGCTCATGTAGAGGAAAAACAATACAATACACTGACTGAACCGTGACTGAACCAGCTTCTTCCTGTTAAGAAATAGATGTTGGAGGTTTCTGGATTGACTTTTGACCACCTGATTAGTGTTGAATCCACCTGGTGCCATCATCTTTTTCCAGAGGCCCTCCCCAGAAACTAGAAATGTAAGAAAGGAAATGGAGGTGACTATTCAGAGACATCCTTTGAAGATGATTGTATAAAAACAGGAAATATTTGGACCCCCAAGGTGATTTCCCTCTGGATAAAAAAGAAATGGCAGCTATTTTGGAATTTGGCAGATTCTTGCAAAACTTACAATATGATCCCAAAATCACAGTACTTGGTATTTACACAAATGAGTTAAAACTTAGTCCACTCAAACACTAACACCCAGTTGTTTATAGAAGCTTTATTCATAATTGCCAACACTTGGAAGCAACCAAGATGACCATCAGTAAGTGAATGGAAAAATAAGTTGTGGTATGTTCAGACAATGGAAAATTATTCAGCACAAAAAAAAAAAGAGATATCAGACCATGAAGACATGTGGAGGAATCATAGATGCATATTACTAAGTAAAAGAAACCAATCTATAAAAGCTTATATAGGGTATGATTC